TTGTTTTATCCTGGGTGTGTTGCCCTTATTACAGGAGGGTTGTAACGCCCGTTGATATGGCACACTCTCACGTGCACCAGGACTTTTGTATCTAGTTGCTTTCGCGTCGTTAATCTTGTTGCCTTTTTTTTCTCTTTTTTGTTGTTTTTTTTTTTCATTTTTATTTCCGTAGAGTATCAGAAAATAAAGCACAATGGGACCCAGGCTTGGCAAAACTCGGGGCGCAGTGAAATTCAGGGTCGGTAAAAACAAGATCGATGGTAGCGGTGGTTTAAACCACTAATACACCAAAGGCTAAATGTACGAGGCTAAATTTGAATTTGGCCAAGCCTGAAAAACAAAGCATTTATTTTCTATTTTCTTTCTCGTTTTTTTTTTTTAATGGGGGGGCAAGTGCGTTGGAGTCACACCCGACGTTCCGAATGGACAACTTAAGGTGTTCCCAAAATGAAGCAAAAATAACTACCCTAAATCTGTCAAGCTACCCTTTGATTTTTTTTATTGTTGTTCTCTTCTATTCGTTTCTTTCATCGTACATGCGAGACAAATTGTTCTATCTGCCCATGTGAAGGGCAGATGCACGGGCAGAGAGTCGAGAAGGCAGATGCATAAGTAGAGAGCCCAGAACGCAGATGCATGAGCAGAGAGCTTCGAAGCCAACAAACAGACATACACGCCTGCAATTATAGGAAAATGGGAGTGGTGACACATGATAACGTAACATAATGTTGCAATGAAAAACTACTAACTTGAAGTAAAAGAGGAGTTGTGTGCGAGGAAAGAGAACTGTGCGTGTGACACTTTTGTTTTTTTATGTTTTTACCAACTAATATGCATTTCTTGTTTTTGCTTGCTCTTCTTATCTGCATGCATGGCAGGTATGACTGATTCACTGTTAATAGAGAATTCTTGAGAATTTGTCGGCTCATGGATGATTTGCAGTGCAGGAGTGTGGTTGACTACCAAAGATGAAATACTACGACTTCTGTGACTTTTTTTTCCGATTGTCATAAAACTTGCACAAAAAATCAATTACAGTCTATGGCGGAAAAAAGAGAAAGAGAGAGAGAGAGAGACGCGATTGTTCATAACTTCATAGTCACTAAGTTCAATTGTAGCATAGGTGGTCACATTATCACAGAGCTATTACATTTTTGTTGTATATATATACACAAAGAGAGAGAGAGATAGGGAGGGGGAAAGAGAGAGGGAGAGAGAGAAAAAAAAAAAGGAAGAGGGAGAGAAAAAAAAAAAAAACAAAAAAAAACAGAGAGAGAGAGAGACACGCGGTTGTTCGTAACTTCATAGTCACTAAGTACAACTATAGTATAGGTGGTCATATGATAACAAAACAATTAGATTTTGTTGTATTCCTGAAGTCGGGTCGAAAACCATCATCTGTACGAAGCTATTTTTGTGTGAATGTTAACTCATTTACTGTGTATTCTGTTTTGTAATTTCACTTTTAACATTGCTCAAACATGCTTTGTCTCTTGCTTTTGAAAAATTACTCTCTCTCTCTCTCTCTCTCTCTCTCTCTCTCTCTCTCTCTCTCTCTCTCTCTCTCTCTACGTCGAAGGTATGAATAATAAAAATCAAAAGACAAAAGAAATTGTTTTGTCCTCCACAACGCAGTGTTCTTACCCCTTGATGCGTCGTCTTTCTCTTCCTTTCCTCCATTGTCATGTCATCTTCCTGCTCTTCCTCCCCGTTGTCCTCGTCCTCCGCCTCCTTTTCTCTAATATCATCCTCCTCCACGTGAAAGGAAAAGAAAGTTGACGTGGAAGCGGAGAAGGACGACAATCAGAAGGCGGTGGTGGATGGTGCGGAGAAGAAGGTGGAAGATCGCATTGGGAGGAGGAAGACGAGGACCTGATCGTCGAGGACGCCTTCTCTCTCTCTTTCTCTCACTCACACATACACACAAATACACACACACACACACACATGTACACATACAGACATTGCCCCCGACCACACTTTAGACCACACCAACCCCCACATGCCCACCCCCCAAGGCCCGCCCCCAGACGCTTAGCCTTTGGGGCCAAGACTAACCCCTAAACTGGTCCGAAGTATATTATGGTATCGAAACACCAAAAACACTTTCGGATATGATGTATTAAACACCGAAAGCACTTCGGAAAATGATGTATTAAACACCGAAATCTCGAAGCGCATTTTTCGTACCGAAACATCGAAAGCGCTTTAGGATATGATGCACTAAACACCGAAATCCCAAAATATTTTTTCACAACCGACACACCGAAAGCACTTCGGGATATGATATACTAGATGGTAGAAAATCGACTAAGTTAAACACCGAAATCCCGAAGTGGGTTTTCGGCCAAAACCGAAAACACTTCGGGATATGGTATACTATATGGTAGAAAATCGACTAAGTTAAACACCGAAATCCCAAATTGTGTTTTCGGTACCCAAACACCGAAAGCACATCGAGATATGATATACTAGATGGTAGAAAATCGACTAAGTTAAACACCGAAATCCCAAAGTGTTGTGTGTCCGATGAACGGAGAACGCGAAAATTGAATGCCGTTATACCCGTTTAACAGGTCCAGGGACCCCCGTTGAATCCCGTGTAATGCAATAACGGGGGTGTTCCGTTCAATTTTCAAAAACGAAACCGGCCCGTTTGGGCTCTGACACGTGGCCCCATGCGCCCAAACACTCAAACTGACAAAAAAATAAAATAATAAAAATGAATCCCTCCACCCCCCTTCGGACCCTTTACGACACCGCCAAACGGCATTTGACGACGCCCCTGCAAGCGGCACGACCACCCGACCTGCCACCTGGTCCCAACACGACACCTATGCACCCCCCACCCCGAACCCAACCACCCAACACCTCCCCATCTGCCAGCCCCCCAAAACAACCCCCACACCTCCCACCAAACACACCCCACCACCCACCCCACACCCAACCACCCAACCCAACCCCATCTGCCAGCCCTCCCAAAAGCAACCCCACCCCCACCCCAAACCCCAAACCCAAACCCAATCACCGCTCACCACACCCCAAATCACCCCCATGTCTAGGAGTACCCATTCTTTGTCAAACACAGGCAACTGTGAAACTTCACACTTGCCTATGTTTCAGTCAGTTTGACATGAAAGAGGTATGCGTAAAGACGACAGTGACGACCGAACAATAGAAGTTCGCATCGTAGTCTGTATACACACATTAAACAATTTACAAAGAAACAAAAAGAGAGCAATCACCCAAGTCTCAAGGCAAATTAAACAAACAAACAAATGAAATAAATGAAATTAAAAATGTAAACAACATTTAGACATATAAATTCACACGATGACAAAAATGGACACGAAACCTCGTGCAACACTCGTAACTGAAATCATACACAGAACATGTAACGGACATGAAAACCGGTGAAGTGCTAGTCACTACATAAAAAATGTAGCATAATACAATGAATCCTACTAGTGCCACATACTGACTAATAAAAAAACAGAACTGCACAACTCGTGTCGCCGGTGCCGACCCACTCTACTACAACTAATGCTACTGTACAGATGTCGTACTCATGGAGTCATACCAGTATCGGACACACTAAAAAGCAAGAAAACAACAACAACTACAACACACAAACTACCTGACTGCCACTGACTACCCGACAACAATGACATAAGACATGACGGCTGAAAAAACAAAAGCAAAGACTACGCCGAAGTCGCCTGCAAGTAGGAGAAAGTGAATTGTTGGCCTCATGGTCATCATCCCCTCTTCCCCTTCCCGCTACGCCACCTTCGACTCCTCGTACCCCTCCGAGTGCTGGATGTCGACCTCCCCCTCCCTCCTGCAGATGACGATGTCGGCGCAGAAGAACGTCTCAAAGCACGCGTCGGTGGGGGGGGTGGGGACTCATCCTCGTTGTCGTCGTCGGCAGCACTGTCGCGATACTCACTCTCCTGCTCCTCACCCTCATAGTCCTCATCGTCCTCCCGCACTGCCTGTCCAGGCGGTCCCGTCTCAGGATCATCCTCCTACACGATGACAGGGTCGCCTCCCTTCCTCAACACAACAACCCTCGCACTAGCCTCTGCGGCCGTCTGCAGCCGGCGGGATCCGCAAGGCATCCCCAACCACTCCGCCGCCGAAGACTCTCCTAGTGCAGCGCCTCCCTGTGCAGGCACCGGGCGTGGACGAGGAGTCACTCCACGGTTGCATGGAGTCTGCTCATGCACAGCACGCGTCACTGCTCTCAAAGCCTGGTCCAAGGTCAAGCTGGACAGTCTTCTGCCTCGACCTCGTTGAGGCTCACAACCTGGTGACCCAACCCCAGCTGAAGGCGAGCAGTGTGCTCAGTGACACGGCGAGTGGAATCCAAATCTATGTTCGTCCTCCCGTACAACGTTGTGCCGCCCACATCACGCCCAACCGTTGTCGTGTCACGAATCCGCGATCTCCCAGGCGTGTCTGGGGATGGAGAGCCTCGGGCTGTGGGCGACAACGATGGAATACCCTGATGTGGTCTAGGAGGAGGGGGTGGCATGTCTCCTATACATAGCGCTCTCTCCTGCACACCCCCGGAAACCCCTGCAACATTTACCCTGCTCGGCCCTCCGCTGGAGGTAGACCCGGACCATACCGGCGATGCAGGGCCCATGGAACCGAAGGAATCCTCTTCCAATTGGGCTGTTTTAGTTTCGGGTTCAATACCCGTTGGTCCAGTCGAATCACATTGTGCACAGCGACAGTTGCTAACTCCTCGGCATCCAATGGATGATCCACCTCCTGCGGAGCCGGTCGTCGAGGACGTGGACGCTCAACCATCGGTTCGGACCCTTATTCCTCAACGACAACAAGCGACAGTTTGTGGAATGCCACATCGGGCGGCTGCGTTCGTCGGGCCTTGACCAAATGCAGGCCCGAGAACGGGATGACTGGACCCGTCTGTGTCTCATGACCTCCCGCCCATGCGTCTCTAGGCCCACCGTCCCCCCCCTCTCCACCCTCCGTGGCCTCATGCACTGCCTGTCGCCCACCCTCCATACCCTCCTCCGCCTATGCTGCTACGACCTACCTAGCATCCTCCCCCACCACTGCCCCACCCTGCCCACCATCTCTCCCCGTCTGTCGACTCCTGCGCTCCTCTAAGGCCCGTGCGAACGCCTGTGCACGCGGGTTGCTGGATGCCATCAGCCGAGCCCTCTCTCGCTCCATGATGTCGCGTGTTGCATCTGGAGACTTTGTCGTCGTCCTCTCTCTCGGGGTCTGTGTCGAAGTCTCGCCTGCCACCTCGTCCCTCAATAGAGCCCGATCTGTCGATGTCGCCGCTCCGCAACTAGGTGGAAGACCCATCGACAAATCAAAGTCGATGTGGGTCCCCATCTCCGAATCCGATATCCCCAACCCCCTCGCCACACCCGGGGTCATACCCGCTATGACCGGATCGAGCTCCTCCGTGAGCAAGTGCTGCATGAGGCGCTCGTCACCGCGTCCATGCGGTACCTCCGCCGCTGCGGCTATCTCCTCCTGCACTGGTACGACCACCTCCCCCTCCACTGCTGTTGCTGACGGTGTCTCCTCCTCCTCCACTTCTGCTGCCACCTCCCCCTCCATGGTTGCTGCTCCTCGTGCTGCTGCTATCTCCTCGATGACGACAGCTGTTATCCCCTCCACTGTCGCCGTTGGTGCCTCCTCCTCCACCACTGCTGCCGCCACCTCCTCCAACACTGCTGCTGCTGCTGTTGCTGCTATCTCGTCCACCACGGCTGCGACCGTTGCGTCCGCCACCGCTGCTGGCGCCATCTCCCCCTCCACTGGTGTTGCCGACGGTGGCCCCTCCTCGTGCAAGATCTCCGGGGAAGGTGATCGTAACCTCGGCTGGAGGACCGCCCCGCCTCTACGGAGAAGTACGTGCTGAGGCAAGGAGGACGCCAACTCCTCCGTGTCTGTTGCTGCCATATACGGCTGAAGTGGCGAGACGGGCGATGGTGGTGTAGGACTCGGAGCAGAAGGTGGCAGCATGGACGACTCTCGCTCCGTCGGAGTGGGGGTCGTCACCCGCGCCTCTGTGCTGCTCGTGCCTGCATGCGAGCCCCTACCTCTGTCAGTGAACACATCGCCCGTGGAAGCAACCTCCCCGAAAGGGCCCCAAGACTCCTCTCCCCCCAGCATGTCCTCGTTCACCCGCTCCGCCGCCCGTCATGCTGTGTGTGCCCTCGTCTCCTCGTCGCCGGGATCGTTGTGCGCCTCGTCGATCTCACGGGGAATGCGGAGCGCAGGGTCATTTGCCGCCTCGGATACCGGCTCCTCATCCGAGTCATCATCCCTAGGGTAGGGACGAAAAATGCAAGCACGTCTACCGAGTACGGCATCTGCAGAGGGCGGTGCGGAAGCCCCGATGGGATCCCAGGTAATAAGCGCAACCTGACGGGCAATCTCCTCCTCCGTCATCCCCCTGCCAGTGCCCGTGCGCACAGGCTCCACCTCGAGTCCTGCCTGGCAATTGAGCATGCCCTCGTCCCGCTGCCATGGCAGCACATAACCACATCCAGCCCGCCGATACTCCGCCAACCGCACATTTGTGGTGAAATCAACGAGTTGCACGACCTTCTTGAAGGCCAACTGGTTGCGCTTCTTCGTGTGGATGCCCTCATGGACATCCCAGTTCCTCTCCACTAGAGAAGCGCAAGACTACATGTGCATCACCCGAAGAGCGCACCGCTGCAACTCTGGACCGCCAGCCCCGAACTGAGACCACCAAGACGCGCAATCAATCGTCCAGTCGTCGCCAATGCATGCGCGCCCACGAGCACGCCCCTCCCAATCGTCAAACCTGCCCTGCTACATATGGAAGTCCTCAAACTGCCGACATGCAAGGATGTACTCCGCACCCTCCAACTCGAAACCCGTCTGCATCAGAATGTACCTCTTGGCTTGCCCTACAACCCAAGCATGGTACCGGTCCACCTCGCCTAAAAAGTAATGAACATGTCACCTGTCGGGGTTCAGTAAGAACCCTGTGCAGTGAGCCGGCTAAAGCATGTGTTGTGTGTGAGCTTGCACACGTCTGATGATCCGGTCAGCGAAGGACTGCTCCAAAGGAGCGCAAGCGTCCGTCACACGGTGGACAAGATCCTATGTCCACTTGATCATGAGTGACATGTACTGTCCCCCACGATCCATCGTCTGAGCAACTAAATGACGGGCTCCATGATATGGACGATGGTGGCCACCCTCTGCCACCAAGGATCCCATCTGATCTTTCGGCACACCCAACGCGCCATGATGCACACATCAGCGGACCACGGGATGTAAGCAAAAACCCGCGCGTCGTCCCCTCGCATCATTTCTTGCAAAGTGTCCTGCAGGGACAACAGCCTCTCCAACATGGAATAAACAGACGTGAACCGCGTCTCGCAAGAAAGAATAAGCCCCTTGTCAGGTTTGCGCCTCCTAAAAAAATGAAGGGCGGCCTGGTGGGTTTTAAAAAACACCACCAGCACACGAGCGCGTGTGATCGCGTCCACAAACGCGTCGCAACTCGTGCCCATGTCTGACAACAATTTGTTGCAGACATGGACGGAGCACAGGAGCCAAGTGATCCTCCTCAGTGTAAGAGGCATGGTCGGCGAGGCCATTGCCCTTGCAGCCCCCATGTACGCAGAAGCGGATTCAATGCATATCGCATTGACCCGCTGCGGCCCATCGCACCTGAACTCGTGGAAGATGGTAACCCATCTCCGAAGGACGTGCTCTGCATCGTCCGGCTCGCCCTCTCGATTGATCGTCATGTACATGACAACCCCTCGCGAGCCAGCGGCAAGGAAATTCACGATCGGTCTCCCATCTCATTATTTCCTCTCATCCTGGTGGCACCAGTCACCCAGAATGGTTGCCTCACCTCCTCCAACTCCTCCGCCAACTCGGCACGGTGGGTCTCCATCGCCCGCATACTTGCAATCTCACTGTGGTTGGGGAGCATAGTGCGCGGGGAACTGCCAGGCTGCTCAAGAAGCACCTGTTGATATGCCTTCCATGCCTGGTTGCGAAAGGCATTGAAGGAGACCCCGCTGGAATAGAGCCAGCGAAGGAAGGTCTTCTTGTGGCGAGCAACCCACTCGCCACCGTAGACCTCAAGCACCTTATGCTCGCGAAGCCTCTTTCCAGCTCGGGTGGCAGCTGAATCAGTTCCTCCTTCCTTCCTCTTTGAAGAACCCTCCGTTGCAGATCCCTTGCCTGCTCGCCTCAGCCAGTCCTCCATCCTCTGCCCAGTGCCTGGATAAAAATCTGGCCCGAGCACGTCCTTGTGTCCCGGGACTCCCTCCTCGCCCGGGCCACGCGCCTCGCGATCGACGTGGATCACACCCTCCTTCGTGTCACCGCCTCCAACCCCCAATGGGTGGTCGGGCGCATCATGCCCACCATCTCCCCCGACCCCTCCCTCCACAGGACGCCGCCCCGCCTCTCCTCCCCTTGCAGCGCTCGTGTCGAGCACATTGAGTCCGCGCTCCGCTGCATACCTCGCAACCCTCTCCATCTGATCGGACTCGAACTTTTGTTGAGCCCGTCGCGCGATCTCGTACAACGCCTCGTCGCTGATGTCCTTGCAGTAGTTCGTCTGGATGAAGTGCCTCGTGGCCTGAAACTGAGTCCTTTGGAAAACTTTGTTCCAAAACGTGCAACAGAGCATCATCACCCCCTTGTTGTCCACCTTCTGGTCGACAACAAGGTAGTGATACACACCGGAGCGGGCCCTGAATATGTCCTGCACATAGTCCGGGGCAGGCGCATGCTGGTGGCCCTGTGCCCTCCCCATGGCGACCGCCCTCGCGAGACTCGCCCCGAACCCACCTTGCAACCCAACCCCCGTCGACTGCTGCCCGCCGTAGGCCCCCCCCCCCCCCCCCCCCCCCCCCCCCCCCCCCCCCCCCCCCCCCCCCCCCCCACTACCCCACCCCCCGTCAACCCCCCTCCAACGTCTCCTCTCACCGCACAGACGCGCGTGAACGTCGCTGAACCCCGTTAGACGGCTACCGGCCCGACGTGTTTCATCGCGTTCAACGTCGTTCCATTGCGTTTAATCGTGTTTAACGTCGTTGAATTAAAAATTCAACGGCGTTATTCGGCGCCACGCGTACCGATTCTCAGTCGTCATCGAACGCGCTCCGCTGCTGCTCCAACTTCGTCGCTGCTCTAGCACCCGCTCCCCGCTCCCTGTGACGCTCCTCGCTTCCTCCTTCTCTCGCAGCAGCTCCCAGTCTCTCTCGCGGCAACCCTCTCTCTCTCTCTCTCTCTCTCTCTCTCTCTCTCTCTCTCTCTCTCTCTCTCTCTCTCTCTCTCTCTCTC